TTTTTTTTTTTTTTTTTTTCTGTTCATGCTGGTTTTTTATTCTCTCAACAGTGTTTTGTACAACAGGAAATTTTGTCTTTAATGAAGTTAAGCTTATCAATTCTTTTGTAAAGTAGGCCTTTGGTGTTGCATCTAAAAAGTCATGGCCAAACATAAGATCATCTAGATTTTCTCCAGTGTTATCTTCCAGGAATTTTGCAGTTTTTTGTTCTACATTTTGGTCTGTGATCTATTTTGAGTTAATTTTTGTGAAGGGTGTAAGGTTTGCCCATGTGTGGATTTTTTTTTCACATAGATATCCAGATGTCCCAACACCATTTGTTGAAAAAGGTTATCTTTTCTCCATTGTATATTACCTTTGCTCCCTTGTCAAAGATCAGCTGATTATATCTATGTGAGTCTATTTCTGAGCTCTCGAGTCTATAACATTATTTTTCTATTTTGTTTTCACCAATATCACACTGTCTTGACTATTCTGGTTGTAAAATAAGTTCTGAAGTTTGGTAACGTCAGTCCGATTGTGTTTTCCTTCAGTATAGTTTTGGCTACTCTGAATCTTTTACCTCACCACATAAACTTTAGAATCATTCTGTCAATATCCACAAAATAAGTTACTGGGATTTTGACTGGGGTTGCATTGTATTTACAGATCAAGTTGGGAAGAACTAACAACTGGACAATATGGAAGCTTCTTATCCATGAATATAGACTGTATCTCTCTGTTTAGATTGTTCTTGGATTGCTTTCATGAGAATTTTCTAGTTTTACTGCTATAGGTCTTGTACATAGTTTGTTAATTTTATAACTATCTCATTTTTGAGGGTGCTAATGTGAAGGGTATTGTGTTTTTTAAAATTAATTTTAATTTTTTTTTTTTTGAGATGGTGTCTTGCTCTGTTGCCCAGGCTGGAGTGCAGTGGCACAATCTCAGCTCACTGCAACCTCTGCCTCCCAGGTTCAAGCAATTCTCCTGCCTCAGCCTCCTGAGTAGCTGGGAGTACAGGCATGCACCACCACACCCAATTAATTTTTGTATTTTTAGTAGAGACGGGGTTTCATCATGTTGGCCAGGCTGATCTTAAACTCCTGACCTCAGATGATCCGCCCGCCTCAGCCTCCCTAAGTGCTGGCATTACAGGCATGAGCCACTGTGCCCAGCCATGTTTTTAATTTCAAATTCCATTTGTTTAAAGCTGATGAGTAATATGCTTTCTCAATATTAATCTTGTATTCTACAATCTTGCTTTAATTGTTATTATTTCCAGGAGATTTTTTTGTTGATTCCTTCAGATTTTCAACATACACAATCGTGTCATCTGTAGACAAAGACAGTTTTACTTCTTACTTCCCAATCTGTATACCTTTTATTTTCTTGTCTTAATTTAGCTAGGACTTCTAATACAATGTTGAAAAGTAGTGGTGAGAGGGGACATCCTTGTCTTCTTCCTGATTGTAGTGGGAAAGCTTCTACTTACTCACCATTAAGTATGATGTTAGCTGTGGATTATTTGTAGAGATTCTTTATTAAGTTGAAGAAGTTCTCCTTTATTCTTAGTTTACTGAGTATTTTTATCTTGATGGGTGTTGGATTTTGTCAGACACTTTTTCTGTGTCTGTTGATTTGTGTGTGTGATTTTTTTCCCCTTTAACCTAATTATATGATAGATTTCATTAATTTTTCCAATGTTGGACCAGCCTTGCATACCTGGGATAAAGGTATGTAGCTAGGACTACAGGTGTAAGACACCATGCCCAGCTAATTTTTACAATTATTTTGTAGAGATGATGACTCATTATGTTGCCTTGAACTCTTGGGCTCAAGAGAATCGCCTACCTTGGCTTCCGAAAGTGCTGGGATTACTGTGCCCAGCCCATTTTGAAATTTCTTTCAAGATATCTTCTTTGACTTGTGTTATTTAGAAGCATGTTGTTTAATCTCCATGTATTTTGGGATTTCCTAGATATCTTTCTGTTTTTCCTTTTTAGTTTAATTCCACTGTGATCTGAGAGCAGAGATTATATACTTTCTATTATTTTAAATTTGTTAAAGTGTGTTTTAACAAGCACACCTTAGGCCAGAAGGTCTAAGTTATTCTTATTTAGCCTAGCTGGAGCTTTGGTGAATGTTCCATGTGAGTTTGAAAATAATATATATTCTGCTGTTGTTGGGTGAAAGAGTCTATAGATGTCAGTTATTTCCATGGACAGATGGTATTATTGAGTTTATGTCCTTAGTAATTTTCTGCCTGCTGCATCTGTCCATTTCTGACTGAGGTGTGTTGATATCTCCAACTATAAAAGTGGATTCGTCTATTTCTCCTTGCAGTTCTATCAATTTTTCCTTTTTTGCTGTTTGTTTTTGGTGAGACAGAGTTTTGCTCTGTCACTCAGGCTGGAGTACAGTGGTGCAGTCTTTGCTCACTGCAGCCTCTGCCTCCTGGGTTCAAGCAATTCTTGTGTCTCAGCCTCCCGAGTAGCTGGGACAATAATTTTTGTATTTTTAGTAGAGACAGGGTTTCACCATGTTGGTCAGGCTGGGCTTGAAGTCCTAATCTCAAGTGACCTGCCTACCTTGGCCTCTCAAAGTGTTGGGATTACAGGCATGAGCCACTAAGCCTAGCCAGTTTTACCTCATGTATTTTGACACTGTGTTGTTAGGTGCATACACATTAAGCATTTCTGTGTCTTCTTGAAAAATTGATCCCTTTATCGTTATGTATGGCCCTTTTTAACCTCAATCACTTTCTTTGCTTTGAAGACTTCTCTGTCTGAAATTAATATAGCTACTCCCACTTTCTTAGTGGTAGGATGGTATATTTTCCTCCATCTGTTTACTTTTAGTCTCTGTGTGTCTTTATATTTTAAGTATGTTTCTTGTACATAATATATAATTGAGTTTTGTTTTTGATTCACTGTGACAATCTGTCTTTTAATTAATGTATATAGACCATTGACATTCCAAGTGATTATTGATGCTGTTGGGTTAAATATCTGTCATATTTGTTACTGCTTTCTATTTGTTGCCCTTGTTCTTTGTGTTTCTATTTTTATCTACCACTCTTTTCCTGCTTTTTGTGGTTTTAACTGAGCATCTTATGAGACTCCATTTTCTCTCCTTTATTACCACATCAGTTATATTTTTTAAAACATTTTTTAGATGCTGGGCACAGTGGCTCATGCCCATAATCCCAGTACTTTGGGAGGCCGAGGCAGGTGGATCACCTGAGGTCGGGAGTTCAAAACCAGCCTGACCAACATGGAGAAACCCCATCTCTACTAAAAATACAAAATTAACCAGGTATGGTAGTGCATGCCTGTGATCTCAGCTAGTCAGGAGGATGAGGTAGGAGAATTGCTTGAACCCAGGAGGTGGAGGTTGCAGTGAGCCGAGATCTCGCCATTGAACTCCAGCCTGGGCAACAAGAGAGAAACTCTGTCTCAAAAAAAAAAAAAATTCTTTTTAGTGGTCGCCCTAGAGTTTGCAATATTCACTTAATCTATGTCCACTTTCAAATAACACCATACTGCTTCCCTTGTATCATTGCTGTTATTCTTTTCACTTATATATAAAGATATACAAGAATATGGCCGGGCGCGGTGGCTCACGCCTGTAATCCCAGCACTTTGGGAGGCTGAGGCGGGTGGATCACAAGGTCAAGAGATCAAGACCATCCTGGTCAACATGGTGAAACCCCGTCTCTACTAAAACTACAAAAAATTAGCTGGGCATGGTGGCGCGTGCCTGTAATCCCAGCTACTCAGGACGCTGAGGCAGGAGAATTGCCTGAACCCAGGAGGTGGAGGTTGCAGTGAGCCGAGATCGCGCCATTGCACTCCAGCCTGCGGAACAAGAGCGAAACTCCATCTCAAAAAAAAAAAAAAAAAAAAAAAAAAGAATATATATGATGTATACATAAGGATATGCAATTGAATATATTGTTGCTATTATTGTTTTGAGTAAACTGTTATGTTAGATTAATTAATAATAAAAATAAACATTTTAATTTTACCCTCATTTATTCCTTCTTCAGTGCTCTTTATGTAGATCCAAGTGTTTGGCCTATATCATTTTCCTTCTCTGTAAAGAATTTCTTTTAAAATTTCTTTTCTTTTTTTTTTTTGAGATGGAGTCTCACTTTGTCACCCAGCCTGGAGGGCAGTGGTGTGATCTCGGCTCACTGCAACTTCTGCCTCCTGGGTTCAAGCAATTCTCCTGTCTCAGCAGCCAGAGTAGCTGGGACTACAGGCCCGCACTACTATGCCAGGCTAATTTTGTATTTTTGGTAGAGACAGGGTTTCACCATGTTGGCCAGGCTGATTTTGAACTCCTCACCTCAAGTGATTCACCCACCCCGGCCTCCCAAACTGCTGGAATTAAACAGGCGTCAGCCACCGTGGCTGGCCTCTTTGAACATTTCTTGTAAGGCAGGTCTACTGGCAACAATTTCCCTCAATTTTTATTTGTCCAGTGAAGTCTTTATTTCTCTTCACTTTTGAAGGTTAATTTTACAGGGTACCGAATTCTAGTCTGGTGGGTTTTTTCCTTTTAACACCTTCAGTATTTTATCCCACTTTCTTGTTTGCATGGTTTCTGAGAAGTTAGTTGTAATTCTTATGTTCGCTCCTCTAGAGGCGTGGTTTTTCCTGACTCCCACTCTGGCTTCTTTTAGGATTTTTTTCTCTATCTTTGATATTCCACAGTTTGAAAATTAAATGCCTAGGTATCATTTTTCTGCCATTTATCTTTCTTGGTGTTCTCTGAGCTTCCTGAATCTGTGGTTTGGTGAATGGCATTAATTTGGGGAAATTGAGTCATTATTGTTTAAATGTTTTTTTCTGTCCTCTTTCTTTTCCTTTTGGCATTTCCATTATGCAGATGTTACATCTTTGTAGTGGCCCCACAGTCCTTGGATATTGTTGCGCTTTTTTTCCAGTCTAGTTTCTTTCTTTTTTCTTTTTTAGTAGAGATTGGGGGTGGGGTAGGGGCACTCTGACTTTGTTGCCCAAGCTGGTCTCGAACTCCTGGGCTCAAGCGATCCTCCCACCTTGGCCTACCAAAGTGCTGGGAACACAGGTGTGAGCCACTTAGCCCGGCCAGTCCCTTTTCTTTCTTCGTTTCAGTTGTAAAGGTTTCTGCTGAGGTTCCTCAAGCTCAGTAGAAATTCTTTCTTCAGCTGTGTCCAGTCTACTAATAAGCCCATCAGAGGCATTCTTCATGTGTTAGTGTTTTTTTACATCTAGCTTTAAAAAAAAAAAAAACAAAAAACTAACCACTATACCAACAAGGATACCTCTAGCATTTTTTTTTATTTATTCAAAGTAACCGCTATACTAACAAGGATCCCTCTAGCATTTCTTTTGGTTCATTCTTAGGATTTCCAAGTCTCTGCTTACATTGACCATATATTCTTGCATGTTTTATTCATTAGAACCCTTAGTGTGTTAATCAGTTTTAAATTCTCAGTCTGATAATTCCCACACCCTATCTGGTTCTGATGCTTACTGTCTCTTCAAACTCTGCTTCTGCTTTTTAGTATACCTTATATTTTTTCCTGATAGCCAGATATGATGAACTGGGTAAGAGAACCTGACGTAAATAGACCTTAATGACATGGTGTAAGGCAGAGTGGGAGGGGAAGCATTCTGTAATTCTGTCAGTGAGTCTCAGTCTTTTTTTTTTTAGACGCAGTCTCACTCTGTTGCCAGGCTGGAGTGCAGTGGTGCAATCTCGGCTCACTGCAACCTCCAACTCTCTGGTTCAAGTGATTTTCCTGCCTGAGCCTCCCGAGTAGCTGCGATTACAGGCACTCGCCGCCATGCTCAGCTAATTTTTTTATTATTATTATTTTTAGTGGAGACGGGTTTCATCATGTTGGCCAGGATGGTCTCGATCTCCTGACCTCATGATCAGCCCCCGTCAGCCTCCCAAAGTGCTAGGATTATAGGTGTGAGAGGTCTCAGTCTTTGAATGAAACTATGCCTCCAGACTCCGAACTTCGTAAGTGCTCCTCAGTCCCTCCACACCCCCTTTGGTGGAACAGGATGGTTAGAGTGGGCTGGAGTTGCGTATTTTCCTTCCCCCAGATTAGTTAAGCGCTGATAAAACCCCAGCAGGCTAGGCTCTGGTTGATGAGTTTCTCCTGTGGGCAGGCGTTAAGAAGAGGCTGCTCTAGCGTATTTCAGAATGCTTTCTTTCCCTTCTTCCTGCCCGAAGCATGAGAATATTTGTCTCTAATATTTACCGTAACAGTGTGGTTGGGCTCCTGGAAAGAAAACTCACAAAGTGTGGGCCCCCCTGTGACTGGGTTCCTTGAAATTTTTAACTCTCAGACTCTGTACTGAGCCTCCAGCAATTCCTCAATTCAGGTTTTCCTACGCAAACCTGTTCCCTCAGAAGTTTCTGCTCCGCAGTTTTGGCTCTGGTAAGTTTGTGATTCTCTATGTTTGCTGGTCTGTTTTTCCAATTTTGGGGGTGGTGGTTTGTCCTGTGACCTCACTGCTCTTTCAGATCTAAGAAGAGCTGTTTATTTTTATTTCAGTTAATTCTTTCCTCCCAGGAGGAAGGAAAATAACCAAAAGCTATTTTTAGCTATTAACTTCTTGTTAGGACAGAATGGTGACTTCCAAGTTTCCTTACTGGTAGAACTGAAAACCAGACGTCTCTCGTCATTGCTTTTGGTGTTCAAATTGTTCAAAATTGGCGAGTGGGAGCCCCTGCAAGTCAGCTTCTGGGACCCCCATTAGTTAGTTTATTATGGTATGCTTACACAAAATGTATTCTTTTTAGGTGCACAGTTCTATGAATTCTGACAAAGGTATGCAGTCATGTAATCATTACAACCAACATATAGACCATTTCCATCACTCCAAAAAGGTCTCTCATGTTCCTTTCTAGTCACTCTTCTCCCCAACCCTAAGCCTATAGAAATTGCTAATCTGATTTCCATCCCTATAATTGGGTTTTCCAGAATGTGCTATGTCATACTGTGTGTAGCTTTTAGAGTTTTTCTTTCACTTAGCATGATGCTTTTGAGATACGTGTTGTTGCATGCATTAGGTTCCTTTTTTATTGCTGTGTGCTATTCCTTTTTGTGAGTATACCATAGTTGTTTATGTCTCCACCAGTTGATGGATGTTTGGGTTGTTTATAGTTTTGAGTAGTTAGGAATACAGCTTCTACAAACACTAGCAGATAGCTTGTTATGTGGGCCTAAGTCTTCATTTCTCTTGGGATGATACTTAGGTATAGAATTGCATGTTCACATGGCATTACCTTAGTTTTTGCAAATAAGGTATTTTGCTTTTTGGCACATGAATGTCTCGGTCTCAGTAATTTCCCAGCCTCAGACCTACATCAGCTGTTTTTCCAAAATGAACATAATTTTTTTTAAACTTCTGAGTAACTCTGATGTGAGCCCAGATTTGCGAACTTAAGATCTATGTAACAATACAGAATGTTAAAGATTTTTCACAAAATGTTCTTATTAAAATATTAAAAAAAAAAAAAAAAACAACCCTCAGCTTGAAAACAGGACATTGCCAAGACTACCTGTGCTGAAATCAAGATAAGGAAAAGCTGAGCCAGCCTGTTTAGAATAAATAGGCTCAGCTGGAGCAAAAGCCTCAGGAATTATCAGTTGGGTTTCCTCTTCCCCCAGTGCTGTGCCTTGGATGTTCCTTTCTTTTTGCCCCACTAGATTTAGTTTAGCTTGAATCTTTATGATCTCACTGCCTGATTAAAATTCCAGTCTCATTTTGGTGATGCTTGTGGATATGGTATTTAAACAGATAAGAAAAAGGTAATTTACCTATAAGTCTGTATCAATCTTTCCAAGAAATTATTATTTTTATTATTTTTGAGATGGAGTCTCACTCTGTTGCCTAAGCTGGAGTATAGTGGTGCAATCTTGGCTCACTGCAACCTCTGCCTCCCGGGTTCAAGCTATTCTTCTGCCTCAGCCTCCTGAGTAGCTGGGACTACAAGTGTCCACCACCATACCTGGCTAAATTTTTGTATTTTTAGTAGAGATGGGGTTTCACCGTGTTAGCTAGGATGATCTCGATCTCCTGACATCAAGTGATCTGTCACCCAGGCAGAAGTGCAGTGGTGCTGTCTTGGCTCACTGCAACCTCCGCTTCCCAGGTTCAAGTGATTCTCTGGCCTCAGCCTCCTGAGTAGTTGGGATTTCAGGCATCCACCACCATACCCAGCTAATTTTTTTTCAATTTTTAGTAGAGATGATGTTTCACCATGTTGGCCAGACTGGTTTCAGTCTTCTGACATCAAGTGATCCACCCACCTCAGCCTCCCAAAGTACTAGGATTACAGATGTGAGCCACTGTGCCTGGCAAGAAATTACTTTTTTTTAGAAACAGGGTCCCACTCTGTCAGCCAGACTGGAGTGCAGTGCTGGACCACAGCTCACTGCAGCCTCAACCTCCCTACACTCAGGTGATCCTCCTACCTTAGCCTTCTGACTGTCTGGGACTACAGGTTAAGAATTCTATGTAGAAAGAAAAGATGAAAGAAAAAAAAAAAAAAAGCTATGTAGAGAAGGAGTTTTGCCATTTGCTCAGGCTGGTCCCAAACTTCTATGCTCAAGGGATCCACCCACATTGGCCTCCCAAAGTGCTGGGATTACAGGCATGAGCCACTGTGCACAGCCAAGAAATTACTTTTAAAATACTTGGAATTTGTCATGTAGAGTTTATTAATGAGTGGTTCACAAGCTTTGTATTTTACACATGTATTATTCCTGCAGGTTTGACAGTCAGGGTACAATGAAAAGGAAGCTGAGAACGGATATTCATTACCCACTCGCTAAATTGGACCTCACTCCTTATATTTCCCCAATTTTCTGGAAACATCCTAAATACAACCTCTGTGCAGTGGTGGTGTGTAAAAACCTATTAAAAGTAACTCAATTTTAAAGAAAACTCTAGAATTATCTGTTTGAATCCCTATTTCTCCTGTCTCTCCCTGACTTCTCTTATGTTCTACTTTTAAAAAACACAGACTAGGAAATTCCACTTTGACCTAGACAAGTGGAGGAGCAATGAAATACAAGGTACTGTTCACTGCCTCTTCACTTTCTCTCCACTCAGTGGCTATTTCAGATCTAAGGATACTTGCAAATTGTGCCCCTAGGGGCAGCAGCAGAATTTGGTTCATAGCTTAAAACTGTTTTTGAGACAGGGCCTTTCTCTGTTGCCCAGACTGGAGTGCTGTCAGTGGTGCGATCATAGCTCGCTGCAGCCTCCAACTCTTGGGTTCAGGTGATCCTCCCCAGGTAGCTGAGACTACAGGCATGTGCCACCATTTTTTTTTTTTTTTTGTAAATTTAGAGGCTAGGCTGCCCATGCTGGTCTTATACTCCTGGGCTCAAGTGACCCTCCTGCCTTGGCCCCTTAAAGTGCTGGGATTATAAGCATCAGCCACCATGCCCAGCCTCCGATAGCTTTATGTTGAATAACCATGAACTACTTTGTGGCCAAAGCTCCAAAACAGTAGGTACATAGTACCCATAAGATTCAATGCCTATATATAGCCAAGCCTTAAACTCTGGGGTCCCAATGGTTCTGAGTCAACTATAATCAATGAAGATCTCCTGAAGGAAATAAAGAGTGGAGTATAACTTAGACCAAGTCACCGGAACTCACACCAACCATCCCCAAAGTAGCAAACCATACTAGGGGTTTCTGTTCTGAATCACGGTGTTGAAGATCTGTTTCAGAACATACTCATATTTCACACTGTACCTGGAGGTCCAGTTGTATCTATATCAAATGGTTGAGGCTCCCACTGGAGCCCAGTAAGATTCAACAGAGTCCACTGAAGTCTAATTTGCTACTTTAGCTTATTGTTGAATTAATATATTCTAAAATGTTAGCCCCACTGGTCTTCCTCATTAGCAGCTCTCAGAACCATACGTCCACACTTTAACAAAATTTTCAGTTCTGTATTTTGTGTTTCGAGCCCTGACATTCTCCTTTCCAATGTATCCTGCTACCAAACATGGTTTTTCTTCTCTCACTTCCTTGCTCTGGAATCTAGAGTGGCATCCTCTTCTCTATTACATCAAATGCAGACTCTAGTGTAGATTCCCAAGCAGTGCAGGAGTTGCCTCCCTTATAGTTTACAATTTTTCTTTCTCATATGGATGTTTCTGCTTTAAGAAAATCCAAGGGCTGGGCACAGTGGCTCATGCCTGTAATCCCAGCACTTTGGGAGACTGAGGCGGGTGGATCACCTGTGGTCAAGAGTACAAGACCGGCCTGATCAACATGGAGAAACCCCATCTCTACTAAAAATACAAAATTAGTCAGGCATGGTGGCGCATGTCTTAACCCAGCTGCTTGAAAGGCTGAGGCAGGAGAATCACTTGAACCCAGGAGGCGGAGGTTGTGGTGAGCTGAGATTGTGCCACTGCACTCTAGCCTGGGCAACAAGAGTGAAACTCCGTCTCAAAAAAAA